CACAAAAAGTAAATATTTGAGGCAGAAATACAGAAAGAAAGAATAATGGAGAGAGAAGGGCAGGAGGAAGAAACAAGAAGTGTAAAGAGAAGAAAAAGGAGGATTTTATTCTGCCCAAACACAAAGAGATGGTTGTATGAGAAAGGCATTGGGGAAATGAGGGTTCAGCTCTGCACAAACTTTCTGTCTGACACTGGACAAGTCAATCTCTCAGTGTCTCAGTTTGCAAAGGCTACAATGGGAATAATAAAGTCTCCTTTGTTCTGCCTTGTCTGCTCACATCAGACGTCCCTTCTGTTTGTATGTTGCAGAAAACCAAGATGCTACCATACTGCAAACAAAAACAAAATCCACTGAGACTCTGACAGGAAAAAAAAGAGCTAGGAAGGGAGATAGGCTATGATAAACCTAGGAGATAACTGCTCCCAAAACCAGGGACAGGGAAGAAACACAGGAGAGACCTTTACTGAGGGAACAAGAAAGAAACAACATGGACCAGATTAATTCTACTGTTGCCTCCTGGACTCCAGTAGAGTTCCTTAAGGGCTGGGCTTAGCCCAAGGAGCTGAGTTTTGTTTGGTTAAAGAAACTTCATGCCAAAGTTTTTAAATAGTCAGATCTGTTCTGAGAACTATAAGAATGTGGGCTGCCTTTTCTGAAACATTGCATGGGACTTGGGATGAACAACTCCCGCTGAAGGCATCGGGAGCCAAGTGATTAAGCCCCATGCAGTGCTCTGACAGGAGGCCACCTTCTTGCCTACGCATACTTTTTTTAAGTATAGAAAGTATTTCCATATTTCTAGCAGCTGATCTTTATTTGAAGCCAAGAGCTGCATTTTTCAAATTAGAATTGAAGCTTTTCTAGGAAAAGCCACTCTGAAGCAGATCACTGGTCCATCTAGCCCAAGACAGTGTCTCCAACAGGGGCCCTACACTCTTCTTAGAGAAAGACATCCTAAATCCCACAGGACTCTCTCCAGGGATAATTTACATTTCACTCCAAGAACTAGTTTGGCTTTCACTCTGAAGACTTATATTCTTTCCAGAACTCTTGCTTATTTTATTAATCTTTACAGTTCCTTGTGGGTGTTTGTTGTTTTCAGGTCTCCATACATTCAAGAAGCCCCCTGAGCTGCTGGCCTCTGTGTCTTGTGCCAGTGAGTTCCCCAGGCCAGCTGGGGCATTTGGGTTCAGGAAAAAAGAATTTTCCCAATTCCAAGTTTGCTGCATTTAACATGGAAACAGGTCTCAGGCTTTGCGTCTCACCCAGCTTCTCATTACAGCATTTCATCTAAAACTGTGAGCTGCTTCTGCTGCGCAGGGAATCCCTGCTAGGAGACGGGCTCTGTATGTGCAACACTGCTCTGCCCTGAAATGTGGCTCAGCTATGCCGAGGACCCACTTCTTAAATTTTTCAGTTCTTCCAGTTTTATAAAATTACATTATCCTGCCAGCTGATCGTGCAGGCACAGTGTATTTTCTTCCCATGTCAGTAGAGTAATAAGAGTTTGTGGATAGTCATACAATCCCCACTATGTGTGCAGCATAGTTAGCCAGGATGGTATAAAGGTTCAAAGGGCTGCAGGGTGACTGGGAGATGGCACTGTGCTCCCTGAGCCTCTCTTTCAGTAAAGAGGCGATTGCAATGCTCAAGCTTCCTTGCAGACTCTGGTGAGACTTGCAGGTAGAAGGGTAAGAAGGGCACTGTTGTGCAGCCCCATGTTTATGATGACGGTGAGCCAGGAAACCAGTGCATGGACAATGGGCAAGATGGCTCAGTGTTCAGCCTGCCCTTCCTTCATCTGTCTGTCCTTCTGCCACAGAAGGGCTCAGGTCTTACAGGGGTAGGAGAGAGCTTTAGGGCATGAGACAAAGTACGGCCTTTGTCATTGTCTAGTAACAAACTGGCTAGATGGTTAGGTACCTGAGGCTGTGCAGCAAAAATCAGATGGTGCTATGCAGACATGGCTTTGGATCCAGCACGCAAACAAACAAAGCCAATATATTAGAAACAGATGGGGAATAGGACGAAAATGAGCATTATTAGGGGTATGCTTATAATAACTTATGAAGTGGGGAATGCATCATTGCTGCACTGGGCTCTCCTGGAGACAGATTTGCTGTTGATTTTGGAGCCCTTATTACAGTCATTGGTTTTCCAATTTATGCATCCCTTCCCCCAGCCCCTGCTGGAAAACCTGACAGCATGCTCTGAGATGTAGCTGCTAATGCAAAGGTTTTGTCAGGAGCTGGAGTGACCTCTGAAAGCAGTGGCTGTGGCTTCATCTGTGCGTCATAAACTGCCACTTGGGTAAGGACATCCATCACCCAGGGCAAGGGCATTGTTTTAGGTGTTGATCTGCCTTCAGGAGTTTCCTCCCTCATCCCAAAGGAAGTTTGGCAGCTCTTGGGAGTTTTTGTCTATTCCCTGGCTGTAGGATGGGCTCACAGTTTCCTAATTCATTCGCCATTTTTGAGCATGACTGACCTGTCCTAGGGGATACTGAGAAAGGAGTAGGCACCTGCTGGCAGCACTGTCCCCAATTGTGTCTTTTCTTGCTACTCCTGTGCACAATCAGGATGTTGGGGCTGTTACCAGTGAGGCCCTTGCCTGCAGCCTGCCCTGCTGCAGCTCAGGAGGTGATCATCTTTAAAAGTCATATATTTTTCACCTGGTTTCCATGTGTATTACCTCTGTGAGATATAGCCCTTACTCATGCAAGAGTGTTTGAAATTGTCCTTGGGTCCTCAGCTTTTGCTAAGACATCCTTATGGTGTGTTTTACTTATAAAACACCCACTGACTTTTTTGTGCTAATGTTCACTAAAACTTGAGTTGTATAATGTCTACTGCACAGTTAAGTGCCTGAGAGTTGACTTTGCTGTTTCCCTGACAAATTTAACAAACATTGGCCAAAACTCAGCTTGCATTGACACTGCTGGTCTTGCAGCTGGAGAAATTTGGCCCAGTACTCCACTTCAGTGTCTTTGAGCTGTCATGATGTGTCGAGCATGTTGGCTGTTCTCATTTGCCTCATGGTTGGATGAGACACTTATATACAAAGCTGCTTAAATTCCAAATGTTGCCTGTGGCTGAATGGTTCCTACCTTTGTTGTGAGAGCTAGCCACAGCCTGGCATCTGAGAGGGTATTCTTGTTAAGAGGATAAATTCATAGCAAAGTCTCATTTATTTAACACAGAGCACACAAAGTCCTGCTCAGTTGATCACAGGAAGAGTTCAGCAACCAGAACGAGTTCCTTTGGTCCCAAAACACTTTACAGATGCATAGCTCTCTTTACGGACCTCTCAGGACCAGGCTCCAATGCCTGTTCAAATTGCAGTTACGTTGGTCTTGGCCTTGCATTGACCTCACTCCTTTGTGTGCTGATTTTGATGAGCGTAGGCTCAGCTGGTGAGCTTGTTCATCTTCTGGAGCTGGGTGTTGCAGAGGTGACACCTGAGAGCATGTGGGGACACGGAGAGGTAGTCACAGCCATTGGTCACTGGTGAGGGATGTGTTTGCATGTACAAGACAGTTTCGTTGCACAAGCTGACTGTAAATGGCAAATGTTAATTCATTTGCCCTGAACAATAACTCAACCATCATCATCATCACCATCACCATCATTATCATAATAATACTTGTAGGTATACAGGTTGAGCTATGGGTGAAAATGACTGTTATGGTCTTCACCCTGTCTGTCCCATATGTCTGCATGGATCAGACCGTTTTACCTTTGCAAGCTGCATGATGCAAGGAATAAGTGACAATATATAAGAAAGGCTTCTATCCCTGTTCCCACGTTCAGACCTGGATGGTCAGCTGTCATCTGCTGTGTTCAGAAAGGAAGGTGTGAAGGCTGGAGCAAAGTGCCATGTTTCTATCCGGTCAAGAGAGCTGGCTAGTAAGAAGACTCTTGCCCTGGTACCATCTTAGAAGAATGGTGCTTGCTGCCTGCCCTGTGAAAAGCAGAAAGTAAAAATACAGAGTTTCAAATGTATCATACTCTTTGGTGAGCTGAAATAGATTTAAGGCCATATTGAAAATCACTTGTTGTGATGGATATTTACTGCCCAATGATGACTGAGTTATATTTCAGAGCAACTGCAAAGAAGTCCTTCCAGCCCACCATTTATTTTGCAGTAGTGTTAATGGAATAACAATGTCTGCCTTGCTGTGGGGTGATCTGTTACTGCTGGTCTTTTGCAAAGCAGAAAGATGCTGTTGGTGGCTGTAACCATCAGCAATTCTTTTCCTAAGGCTTCCAGGAGAGTAAAAAAATGGGATTTCTTTCATGAACTTTTCAGAGATCTGAAATAATTTGGCAAGCAGGGCTGGAAAATGGCCTATGCAAGTACATTTAACATGTAATCAAACAGCATGAATTACATGAGGATGCACTGTGGCTTCAGACCACTCCTTACTCAGGGAATACTTTGACTGGCTCATAAGAAGCATGTCCTCCCTCTGAGCTTGTCCCCACCTTGAGCCATTCCATCTCCAGCTGTGTAGGACAGTAAGAAGGGAAGGGGGGAAGCCTTTTCTACACCAGCTCCTGTGCAATTCTGTCTCAAGGGCTGAAGCTAAATGGGTGTGTATGTGCTCTAACTTTCCCTGCAATTGTGCCTGGCCTGTGTTCAAAGCAGTGAAGGGAGAAGGCTCCTGGCTGAGTGTGTAAGCTGGGCATCTCCCAGGCTTGATAGCAACGCTGTGAAAAAGGCAGTGGGGATAGATCTGGTTACTTGGTGGAAAATTTGTTACCCTTTCAGAACTTCTGAAGGATACAGTGATGAACTGATTCTCTTGTATTTTTGTTTTAGAAATGCATCTCTATTGATGCTAATGCTGTTTGTGTATCAGCCATTAGTTTTCTTCATGCTTTTATGTAATTTATACTTTCTCCAGTTTCATTTTGAGAAATGCTGAGCATCTGTGAAGCTGGGAGGAAGACACGCTCTGTTCTAATGTGACTTTCCCGTTTTCCTCTGTTTTGCAGGTTCTTTTCGAAATGATGGTTTAAAAGCTGCTGATGTCCTTCCTATACTGAAGGAGAAAGTGGCCTTTGTATCAGGTGAGCAGATCTTTTCTGTGACCCTCCAGCTGAGATGGACCTTATGGCACTGCAGAGTCACAAGGAACTGGTTTAATGGTTGGACTTGGTAGTATTTAAATTAGATTTTCTGCTAAGAAATGGACTGTTTGTGGAAGAGGGCTATCCAGCAATACTCAGTGTGCTGGGAACTGGCCCATGTTGATTTTCTTCATATTCTGAGGAACAGATAAATAGGCAGCACAGATGGGATGAAATGCAGCTTCTGATCTCCAGCCAAGACCTGTGCTGTCTTAGCATTTGGGTCAGTTCAGGGATCCTGCTTTGGGTAATAGGTCAGTGACTAGCATTAATACCTCTTTGTAGGAAGTCCTCAGACCTGTAAACCACTGCTGACAAAACTTAAGGACTTGAGGATGGATGGGAATCAGGCAATATGGAAAAGGTTTTGAGAATGGCTTGGATGATATTGTTGCTGGTGGGAATTACAACTTCTCAGGGAAAGGGGAAAGAGAAAGTCTAAAGTGATTGTAATCTTGCATAAAGTAAATCAAACTGGCAGCATAAAACCAGGGTATTTCCAGTGCTGGTGTTTCTGATGATTGCAAACCGTTCAGGCTGCTTTTGGTGATCTGACTATTGCAATGAGTAAACCCGCCTCAAAAATAGCCACTCCCTGCCGTGTTTGCAGTCTTTGCTTTTTATTTCCTTTGTCTCCACAGAAATGCTGACTGCAGAGGGGAGGAGAGTAGCAGCGAGGCCAGCAGGTGCCTGGGCTCTTCCTCCCTGGCTCTGCCCCCAGGTGCTGGTGTGGGGCCCATGAGAATGGTGCTTGTTACACTAATGAGCCATGGAAAATCCTGGCCAGGCAGGAAAAGCTTTCACCTTGAGTAATTGTTGTTGTGAAATGTCTTCCCATATAGAAACAGTTAAATCATACATGGATCATGAATCCAGCAGTAACTTGGGCAGGTTACTTGTGTCTCTATAAACCCTAAGCTTTCTGACCAATGACATCCAGGACTTTGAGGGAAATTTGTGAGACAACAGAAACCTCATGTGAGAACCCAAGACTATCCCAATAGTACTGACAAGCAGGACTACTTTACCTCACACTGGAATGTCCTGAAATATTTTTAGTGGTTGTTGTCCTTCAGTGCTCCGAAGAGGGCAATGCAGTCATAAAAACACAGTGTGCCTGCAGACTTGTTTATCACACAAAGCTGAACCAGAAGCTCTAGGGAAGTGAAAGGGAGGAATTTTTGCAGGGACTGTACTGAAATTTAGTTCTTGGCTCCTGCTGTTGCTTTGCATGGAAATGACTGCAGGATCATTTGGTAATTTGTGGAATATTTAATAATGACAGCCTGCCTGAATCATTTGTATAGCCCCTTCCACTGACAGTGCCTGTGTTCAGCTCTGAGCCAGAGGGTCTCGCACCAAGTCATCAGCTCTTTACATGCTGTCCTGGGCCACGCTTGCCTTGTGGGGGGGTGTTAAACAAGCAGTGCCAACACCGTCCCCCAGGGTTTCACACCATCATCCACTCCAGGCAGGGGTCAGCTTGCTCCTCATAGACTCACCAGCCTACAGGCTTGCATCTGCTCAAAATGTGCCTGTTCCTGACACAGCTAGCTAGGTAGTGGTCCTAGGATTTATACCTCCATGGTCTCCAAGTGCAACGACTACAGGCTAAAATTTTCAGGGTTTTTTGCAGATAGAATGCTCTGAGCTTATTGCAATAAAACCAGCATCATCCTCCAGCCCAGAGTTCAAGTACTGCCCAGTCTTCCCTTGGGTTGTTGTAATGAAACAGATTAAGAGGATTTGAGCACGTTAAGTGATGGCTAGGTTCTTTTTAACTAAAATGCAGTAACTTCCTAGAATATGCTTTGGGCACAGAACAGAAAACGTTTGCCAAAATAAAAATACCGAATAGCTGGACTTCGCAAGATTAAAAACAAAACAAAAAATTTCTGTAGTTAGCAGAGACTTGGAGCATATTGCATTTGTAATCAGACTTCCTCAAAGAAAAACAGAATTTTATTGAGTCTTCCTCAGAGTTTTATACTACAGTTAATTTTAACGATAATAGTACAGTAAAGTTGTCAAGGGGGTTCTCCTTACGCCAGAAGAATTTATCAGTGCGCACAAAAGATCTCATCTGCACATCTCAGTTACATAGTTTATTTCTTTTCTCATCTGCTGCAGCTCAGCAGCTTGGTTTTCAGCAGAGAACAACGTCCCTCAGGCTGGGCATTTGGGCGCTGTTGATGCTCCACCCTGGCCCACGCAGAGCAGCGGGGCCCAGCAGGCAGGCAGGCGGCAGAGCGGGCACCCCGGGACCTGCCTGCACAGCCGTGGGATCCCAGAGGAGCACTCCAGCTTTTACAAGTGCACTTGGTTTCGGGGCTGAAACACAGCTCTAAGTAGCCGTGTGGGGCCCGGTGCCCGGCGCGTCCCCTCAGCTGGCACAGCGGGCGCGGGGCTCTGCACCCACATCCCTGTGCTGTGGGAGGCTTCAGGGGAAGGCAGCGTTGGGATTCTTTCCTGGAACCCTGAAAACCCTGTTCCAGCCCTCGGCAGCAGAGAGACGGCCTGAGCAGGCAGGGGTGTGGGGCATCCTGGTGGTCGCCGTCTGGTTGGTTCCATCACTGACCTCCTGGAAGAAGATTAAGCAGGGCCCTGGTGGGGGTGGGGGGGCTTTGGCCACCTGCTTGTTGCCTAAACCCTAATAAAATCCTGGTGTTGCCTGGGAGGTTCACTGTGTTACTCCCAGCAATGGAATGGCTTTGGGAACCATTAGGGAGTGAGCTACAGACCAGAGGCTGATTTTTTGTATTCTGAGAAGGAGATGAGCATGGAGGAGAGGAAATAAATCAGGTTGTAGATTATTTTTGGTTGGTTTTTTTTGTTTGTTTGTTTTTTGTTTGTTTGTTTTTGTTGTTGTTGTTGTTCTTGTTGGTTTTTTTTTCAGTGAGAGGTGGTGAAATATTTTGGAAGCTGAGTTTATAGTCATTCCTAGGAAACTCAGATGCTGTTTTAGAATATTGGTTTAATTCAGGATGTTGTTCAGCTGCTGGATTGTATTTGGTGGAAATTTCCTATTGATCAGAGCAGTACAGGAGGAAGCGAATGAGCCTCTCAGGATGGGGAGGAAAGTGTGTTACCAAGTTCCCTTCCTATGCATGGAGCTTTTCATACACTTAAGCTATGAAAAGCTTGTTAGTTGACTAATGCCATGGGTCTCGCTGAAAGCAGTTGCCCTTACCCCATATGGCACCCAGAAAAGTCTCTCAGAACCCTCCCCAGCACTTCCAGTTACCTGGAAGGTTGGGAGGGAAAGGTGGCGGCGTGTGGGCTCCCACCAGTCACCCAGGTACTGTCTGCTCATCTGCCGGGGAGGCAGGAGTACAAAGGAGGAGGCTGGCCGGGTTTCTGAGAGGGTGCTTGAGCACGGAGGAATCAACAGCAAAAGGCAGAAGGGTGTAAGAAGCTGCTGAGCTGCTGCAGCTGTGGCAAGCAGAGCTCCTAGTGTTCAGTGAAGCAGGAGGTTTTGCATGGACTTTGGGCACCAAAAGGCACAGGGCACGGAAAAGTGGATGCAGCAACATTTCAGCCACCTCCATCCTTCAATAGGCCACCGTCCCCAGCCCCACGTGTCTCAGGAGCAACCTCATGAGCTGTGTCACACCGATGTCTGAGCCTGGCTGAGAGCCTGAGGGAGCAACAGAGAGAGATTTCTTGGAAGGTCTTTCAGAGGAGGAATTTCAGTGTAAATAGATCAGGTGAAAGGACAACTTTGCAACTAGGTTCATTAAATTGAGGCCAGCAGGATGAATCAGAGAGGAAGGCTCAGAGGAGAAGAGACTGAACTTCCCAAAAACTTATCTGAAGACACCACAGGTCACCTAGTGCCAGATGTACACATGGCCACATGGAGAGAAGTACATGTTTTCTTCTGCAATGGATGAACTTTACTCTTCAGAGAAGGGGTTGAAATGAGACCCCAGGACCCTCTGGGCACTGGGAGAGTTCAGATCCATGTTTCAGGGGGTCTCAAATGTTGATTTGTAGACACTGGAATTTGTATTGAGTCGGGAATAGAACTAACCAAAATATTAAATTTTTGAATGATGTAAACATTTTGTATTTGCCCCAAAAGTTTTGATTTAAATTAAAAGTTTCCATACTTCTCTTCATCTGGTATGGAAATTTCAAATGAAACATCAACAATTCTGTATTTTGTTACAGAAAAATGTCTTCATTTTTATACCGTTTCCTGATGTAGTTTGAAATGCACGGAAATTCCAAAAAGAGGAAATATGCCATTAGAAAAACAGAGCATTGCTTGACTATTGAATTTTCCTCATGGTTTTGGGCCATTATGCTTTCATCTAGAATTTGCTGCTGCATTGATGCAGATTTTTCTTTGAAGAGGAAAACGAGGAAGTCGAGACTGTAAAGTTTCCAGGTCTTTTGATGAGGTCTGAGCCTGCTGGGGTTTTTGTTGTTGTTGTTTGATTTTTTTACTTTGTTTTTTCAAGAGTGTTAGCTCATTCTTAAGGATGCAGAGGAGCCTTTACCTATAGGGGCTGTTTAGATATCCTCATCGGGACTCTGAAGTTAAAGCAGAAATAATTTTTTCCTGGGATTTCTGATTTCATTTACAGATTATAAATGTAGTGTGCAACATCAGTTGCTGTATTTCTTTCCATATGCTTTAACTGTAGCCATGGTCTAAATTAAACAGTTTTTGTGGAGAATGTCTAGTCACTGCCAACACTTACTGTCCTGGCACTTGGACACTAGCAGCTTGCCAAGATCCACCAATATCTCCTCAGAGCCTGGGGGCTTCTCCTTTATGTACTTCCTTAATAGACATGCCTGAGAGTAGCGATGCGACCTGTGCTGCCTTGTGGGGAGACAGACTGGTTCAAGTGCCCTACAAAACTGGGCAAAACCCCAGCTTGATCAAAATTTCTATCCAAAAAGACTTGCAAGAAGTTGTGGGATCACAT